ATGAAATTTATTCTGTAAGAATCTATGTTTAAGACATTTCAGTAAGGGTCATGGGAATCCTAAAACAGATACTACAGTGTTCATGCTTCTAGGAGTTTATAATCTACTAAAGGAAGAAAGTCTAAACAATGTCTACAATATGTTTAAGGAAATAAGAATTTTTAAAAAAAGATAAAAGATTTTATAACCTGGTCACACAGATCATTTCTACTAAGAAGCTGCCTTTGTTATAGGTTTGACAAACATGCCAGCAGGACTACTGATGTGTCGTGAAATATTTTTTGAAAGTCTGTTATTTCTGCACTTCCTAAAGACCACAGCTCACTTTTGAGGTGGGCATGGATATTCCTGCCCTATCAGCTTTGTTGGTTTATCATGAGGATCCAGTGATAAAAATTTATAAAAGAATTTTGAGGATTTATAACTATAAGATAATGTCATTATTAGATCTGAAAATTATGTTTCTGTTTACCATTTGTAGGAATCAACAGAGTCCCATGACAGAGACTCTTCCCACTTGTCCTTCAAAATCTTTCCTCATTTCTTCTCTTCATGTGGCTGCCCAGTAGTTAAAAGTGTGGCCATGTATTTAATAAGTTCTACTCCCAGGCCTAGGTCTCAATTTCATGGACATGCTTTGTCCACACTGTCTTCTCCTTAGTCCCACTTGGAATCCAGTGAAGCCAATTTCCCCCATGGAGATGATAGCATTGCCCAAAGGGAAAGATGGAATAATGGAATTGGAACAAATCTGGACTCCTGTTAAACTAACCTTGTGGAATACAGCTTCTCCCCATCTGAAGTACTTAACTCAGGCTGTTATGTGGGAGATAAATAAATGTGAATTATTGAATTATGCTATCTAGAAAAAATTCTGCTACCTTAGTTTTAGTTCCACGTTTATCATTGCCTTACTGAATAATCTCAGACAGTTACCATTTTCTAATTTCTAAAATGAGAGCACCTGGCTAGATCTTTGTTTTAACAATGGTGCACCACAGAACTCCAGTTCTCACATTTTTAAAATTGTTTCAGAGGGCACTTTTGGTGGAAGAGGAAAGAATGGGGGCCAGGGGAGAACAAAGGCATAAAAGATGCCAGGCTCTTGGTTTACAGAACCCTCATTTACTTTCTCATCAGCCAGTGGAACTCTCTGTTTTATATATTAGGCATCTAAGAAAACATTTGAACAAAGAATTCTTCCATTGAAAACATTTGTCAAAAACCACTAAGCTCGCCTTAGCTGGTTTGGCTCAGTGGATAGAGTGTTGGTCTGTGTACTGAAGGGTCCCAGGTTTGATTCCAGTCAAGGGCACATGACCGGGTTGTGGGCTTGGTCCCCAGTCGGGGGTGTGCAGGAGACAGCTGGTCAATGATGCTCTCTCATCACTGATGTTTCTATTTCTTTCTCCCTTCCTCTCTGAAATCAATAAAAATATTTTTTTTAAAAATTAGTAAGCTCTAAAATGCCTAAGATATATTTACTTTCTGCAATTCTATATTTGAAGGAGTTAAAAGTTGTTGCTCAGTAATGATAGATTTTTCTCTGAAACACCTGTGCACTTTTTCCCATTTGTATTTGTGATCAGTGACACATATTTGATAAGTGATCTAAGTCATTCATATAATCCATGATTTAAAAATGTAATATTTTTATGCAAATTAACCAGGGATCTAAGATAGTATCTTGATGTTATTAATATGGTACTTGAACCATCTTAGCTTTAAAAAGTAATAAATATTTTGATGTATGTAGTGAGTTCATCAATATCTGTTTGGTGGTTTTTGTTTGTTTATTTGTTGTGTGTGTGTGTGTGTGTGGTTTTTTTATTACTCTTGTGAACGGTGTTGGACTTTATTGAGAAATGGTTGAGTCAATCAACTCACAAAACATATGTCTGTTTGGCATTTTTAATGTTTATTCTGGAAGCATTCTAAATGAGAAAAAAACTAATTGTTCTATAATGTTTTAATATATATTTGACTCAATACCTTAAACCATATTAATTGTAATGGTGTCCATTGCATGTCATTCTGCCATATTGGCAAAGCCTTTTCTTTGAGACATTGATAATCAGATTGATCAAAATCTGATCAATCTAGATACCCAAGAATACTTTCAAGAGATAACATTATTTGGTATGCAAATTTCATTCCTCTTCATTATACAATGTAATTTTTACTAACTTAGGTCTAAGACTCAGTCTTTACACTTATTTATTTACTTTTTGTAATCCTCACTTGAAGATTATTATCCTATTGATTTTTAGAGAAAGGGGGGAGGGTATAAAAGACAGGGAGAGGGACAGACATTGATTGGTTGCCTCATGCACAAGCCCCAACCTGGCCCAGGTATCAAAAATATAGGTAAGTGCCCTTGACCTAGAATCAAACCCAAGACCCTTCGTATACAAGGGCAGATGCACTAAACCAAGGGTCCTCAAACTTTTTAAACAGGGGGCCAGTTAACTGTCCCTCAGACCATTGGAGGGCCGGACTATAGTTTAAAAAAAAAAAACTATGAACAAATTCCTATGCACACTGCACATATCTTATTTTGAAGTAAAAAAACAAAACGGCAACAAATACAATATTTATATTTGCATGTGGCCCGCGGGCCGTAGTTTGAGGACCCCTGCACTAAACACTAAGCCACACTGGCCAAGGCTTTTTACACTTATTTAAACAAGTAGACAATTTCATTCTGAACAATTTCTCAATACTCACTCTAAATGCAGACATGATCCATTACCCTTCGATATATTCATTTAAACAACACCTAAACTGTATTGACAATCAAAAATGGCAGCTCAAACTCCCAAAGCACTCCTAGCTTTTGCCATAGGATATGGCAATAATAATGAACTATTCTGGATCAAATAATTATCATAAAAAGTCATAGTTAAAATCCATACAGGGTGGGCAAAAGTAGGTTTACCATTGTAAGTACAAGGAACAGAGTTTACTCTTGTATTATTTAACAATTATTGTACTACTTTCCATATGAGCTATTTTTGACCAAATTTGCACAAAATGTAAGAGAGTTAGTGCACTCATTTCATAATTATATTTCAAGTAATTTCGTGTTCTTTAGGACATAGGAAACAAATTCCATCAGTTGTCATAAATTTCAGACACAGATATCAGAGAGTCTATTACAACAGATTAATATAGAGCCTTATTTTTCTCAGAATGCAGTAAGCCGGGAGAGGCAGCTTTCTATAAGTTCAATATCTCAGGAAGTTCAAGGTTGCCTTCTCCTGAATCAAAGGCTTTCCCTCCTGGGAAAAAAAAAGATAAATCCTTCCAGGTCCCATATCCACACTGCAGGTGAAAAGCGGGTACAAGGGTCAGTGAAGGTGGCATAAGTTTCAGTCATTAGAAAACATAAGCTCTCTGGGTAGACTTGCCAAAGAATTCCATGTTTCCTCTCAGGAGACCTCCTCCTATGTCCACTGTCTCAACATGATGGAAAGGTGCCGATGAAAGACACAAATTTAGGTTTTCTGAATTAGCCTCCCTGCCCAGCCTGTTCTCCTAGAACCCCATAAAGGAATTGCTGTGACCCAAAGGTATGGTGTAGGTTTGTTTTGCTTTGTTTTTCGCATTCATTTAGGTTTCTGTAAATATAGTTTTGGAGATAGGTCTTATTTATACTGCCTATGTTTCCCGCGGTTATTATCAAGAAATGGAAACTTGAAGACACTGGGTAGCACAGGCTCTGGGAGGAAGACCATCCGCCCACCCCTCAACTACTGTTCCTGTGGCCCCTCCTCCACCTGGGCATAGCAGGTCGTGCCTCCAGCCCCCAACAGTTCAAACCCAACCCCAACCGTCTGAGAGTGACTGGGGACACGCCCTGGGAAGTTCCAAGTGGGTGTGGTTCCACCTTATATGAGGGCATCTGGCCTCCCCCAAGTCCAGAGATCCCAGATAGCAGAGGAGTGCTCTAGCTGAGGCTGGTTCTCCGCTGGGCCTTTGGAGAAGGAAGGACCCAGAGGCAGATTTCTGACCTGCTCAAGGTCACCGGTGAGTCCAGGGGTTGGGCCAGGGAGCGAGGCGGAAGGTGAGGGGGGGGCGGTAATAAGGGGCAATTTTGCAAAAGTGATAGAAAACCAGCTGCTAGCCTGACCCTGACCCTTCTCTGCCCATCCTTGCTGCTTGACACAGTCACTGTAGGGAAGAAACGTCTGCACAGCATATGTTTCAAGGAACCTGGCATATATGGTATACTGTTCTTAATATGTTTGCTCCCCTTCTTAGCGCTATGTGTTTTAACCAAGGTCACCTCTCCAGAGAAAGGTTGTTTCCCCAGGTGGGGATTTTTCCCTGCAGTTAGAGATTAACAGGACTAAGGAAGGGAATAAAATGCCTTAGCTAAGTGCCAGGCGGGTAATTAATCACTTTAACTACGAACAATCACCCTTAAGCTACATAATCTTTACTTAGGATAATCTCCTTCAGATACTGCCTCATAGCTTAACAGAACAATAGAGTATGACCTTGGAATGGAGATAACAAACACCCTAACCTTTGGAATAGAATGGATAGGATTAAAATCAACTGGTATAAATACAGATGTAACAGGAGAATAAAGACAGAACCTGGCTAGAACCTGGCTAGAAAACCTGGCTAGGCTGCTGATCAACTGAATGCTGTCTTCCTGTCATTCCTTCTTCGCTGACTCCGTCTACACCTTGGGAACCCCTAGACCTTCTGGGGCTGGACCCCAACACTTCTCAGCATTCCCTTCCCAGGTCCCTGACCAAGCATCCCACCACCAGCTCTGAGGCTTCCCCGTGCCAGCATGGAGAAGGCCAGAAAGCGACCCAGGTACCAAGGTGGCGACTCCCCACGTGTGTGCGTCACCCTCAGCCCTCCGTGGCCCCCGTGGACAGTGCCACACACGCCATCCCGGGGCACCGACCTGAGGCACTGAAAGAAGCCTCTGCACCCCAAGGCCAAGGCCCCATGGAGGTCCCAACGGCTCCCACCTCCAGGCAGGTGCCACCACAGAGTCCCCGTCCTCTCCTCCTGCAGCCCCAAGGCTAAGACGCAAGACACAGGCCCAGGAGGAGAAGGAGTGGGTGCCAAAAGGGGACCCCAACAAGGCTCAGAAGATGCGAGTCCTGCTGGCTTCTTTCTCTGAGGAGCAGCTGACCCGCTACGAGGGGTATCGCCAGTCCACCTGCCCCAGCACAGCCATCAGACACGTGGTCCAGAGCGGGGTGGGCGACGCCCCCGTGGAGCTTAATGCGCTCATCTCCAGGGCCCGGCTGGCCAAGGTCTTCGTGGGGGAGGTGGAGGAAGAGGCCCTGGACGTGTGAGAGTGCTGGGGGGAAACGTGTCCCCCCCCCTCCGCTGCAACCCAAGCATCTCAGGGAGGCCGTGCGCAGGTTGAGCGCCAAGGGCAAAGTGCCCAACATCAAGCCCAGAAACGTCCTCTTCCCTCGGGCACATGCCTGGGGCCCAGGGCACGGCCTTCCTGGGGCGGAGGACTGCGGACTTTGCAGCCCCTCTGTCTGCCTCCACGGACCCTTCACCCAGGACGGATCCCGTTTTCCTCAAAACTCCCCCACATGGGCCACGACTCTTGTGCGGCCCCTGGAGGCATGGGGCTGCCTGGGTGAGCCCAACCCGGTGAAGAAGAGCGCCTGCCAGGACGGAGCCCGCACCCTCGGCTGGAGAGCTGCTGGGAAAGAGGACGGGGTCTCCCTCCCCAGGCTGGACCCTGCTTTCCCAGGGAGCCTGGGGGTGGTGGCTGGGACTTGGGCGGCTTCTTCCCGCTGCTCTTGGGGAGATGGCACCACACGAACCCTTGCATTGGTGACCCGCGTCCTGCAGGGAGAGCAGGAGACCTGAGAACATCTGTGCTTGTGAATGCTGACCTGGAGCCCGTGTTTTGTTTTGTTCTGTTTTCTTTTGTTTGGTTTCGGTGATCATGAACCTGTTTTAACTTGCACAAATGATAAAATCCACAAACCCTTCCTGTCCCCTATATGTCTACGTTTCATTTCCTTCCCACAGTGCTTTGTGTCACCAAGCGGTCTTGCACCAGCTGAGGCACTTCTCACGTGGTCTCCTGGGTGCCCATGTGGCCAGAGACCATAGCCAATCAATCGCCAGACACACCTGGGGAGCGGCCTCATGACTTGGTCCGCATTGGTGCGGTGTCCCCCACTGGGTAGCACAGGATTATGGGAGAAGGGAGGGTTTCTGCCCATCCCTGGGCAACATCCCCTGTGGCCCCTCCCACCCTTGGGTACGGCAGGTAAACCAATCCATAGAGTAGATACATATTCACAAATATGTCAGATGCTGAAGAATGAAAACAAATTCACAAGGCCAATCTATTGCAAAACAGATACAGTTAAGTACAAATATTTTTACATTGTAGTCCAACCAACGTTCTGCCCTCTGAACCATGATGGTCTCAGAGGACCCCCAGTACATTGTTACTGATCAGCAATTGCCAAATGTTTGACTACCAGTAAAAATAGCTCTGAGCTCAACCTATGAATGATACCCAGGTCAAAGCAGAAGTGCTTTCAAACATCACTTTATTGTTCCCAAATCCTAGGCTATGGCCAGCAAACAAAAATCAGCCTTTGTTTGTGGCTTAATTACTTTTCTATCACAGCCATAGATTCCCCAGTAAGAATAGCAACCCTGACTAAAGCAAATCCCCGTACTACCATTCTGGAAAGAAGCGGTCGAATGTGGGTGACTACAGAAGCCAGCATCACTTGCCAGGGAAAATTATGGGGTGGTGTCATGGGATTTCCAACAAAGATAAGTTTGGTTCCCTCCTGACACAGAGGGTTGGATGTGATTTGTCAAATATTTATTAAATTTTATCACTGTTCTTCATTTTCTCTTCCTACATCAAGCCATGTCTCTCTGGGTTTTATTCTCTTACCCTCCAAACCATCCTTCTATAATAGGACTTATCCACTGAAACAGATGCAGTTAAAAACACATTCAAGAAATATAGTTTTAGTTTTTATGTTTGTATATATGCTTTCTTCTAGTAACTATTTTATTCCCTTGACAGCAACCAAACAAAGTTTATTTTGAGCAGGAAATTAATTTGATATTCATAGAACTTTGGAACCAGAAGGGCCTCAATTCTACATTTTATAAAGTAAACCCTGAGGACCAAAGAAGTTGAGAAACTCAGTTGGGTTGCACAAACCAGACTAATATCCAAACGGAGGTCCTTGAACTGTCCCTTTAAGTCCATCATTTTCCACAGTGTGCTACTTTAAACTATCTACAAGCATCCACTATCTACAACTGGTCGAAAAACATCAAGTGACATATCATGGGTGTAGTTCTTGGAAACTTACCTAAGCTTAAACAAAACAAATAAGTGGGAAATTTTTGTTAGAAGTTAAATAGAATTGTCGGCTATAAACAGCATTTCTCATATATATAATATCAACCAGAGCCCTTAGTAATGGATTGGCTTTTATAAAACTAATTTAAAATATTCAAGAAGTCTTTATTTCATTGATAGTTATCAGGGTATCAGAAACTATATGGGATAAACACTATTTTTTAAAATGTTCACACCAGTCCAGATTAGGTTTTTTTCACCAAACTAATTAGAAAAAAACAAACAAACAAGTATTAGTTTCCCATAGTTCTCTAGATTTTTGAATTGCAGAAGAAGGATTGACACAAAGAGGGATGATTACCTTCAACTGGTGGATTGGCCATTGGCTTAATGGTTAAATAACACCAGAATCTTATACTATAATGCTCGTGCCTTAATTAACATCTAGGAACTGAGGCTGAAAAAGGAGTTTCTGCCTCCTGTCCTATTCCCAAGGCAGGACACATGGCCACTGAGTGGAGTGAAAGCCACAATCACTTCCAATATGTAACATCTTCTACTATTTTTTTCTTAGTCAAATTATAGTTAATTTTTTGTGTCTTAAACATTTATATAACATGAATCTTTTGTGTCAGCAGAAAGTTCACCCTTGTCATAACTTCAGCACTCACTGGGTCCTAGAAATCAGGAAAGGATTCCCGTATTTATAAAGATTAAGAAAATTAACAACAGTCTGGCTGGCATGGTTCAGTGACTGAGCATGGACCTGTGAACCTGGAGGTCACAGTTCAATTCCCAATCAGGACACATGTTTAGTTGTGGGCTCAATCCCCTGTATGGGGTATGCAAGAGGTAGCACATCAATGATTCTCTCTCATCATTGATGTTTCTATCTCTCTCTCCCTTCCCCTTCCTCTTTGAAATCAATAAAAATATATTTTTAAAAGAAAATTAACAACTAAAAGGATAAAATAAATATTTGTTATATTTCTTTATAATTTCTTTCCTCTCTCTTTACTCTTTCACCCAAGAAATTATGAAATTTAAGCAGAGAGTAACCCATCAAAACAAAAGGCTATGCTAAATTACATTCCTCAGCTAGACAGGAAAAAATTAAAGGACACTGAAATTTATCATACAGACGATTCTGATCATTTAACTTAAAAGGAAGAGACCATGTCAGTGGCTCTCAGTTCTAAGGCAAACTCAGCAACTTGGCAATCCTCCTTTCACTTCCCTTTCTGATACTTTCTTGTCTCGCCTCTTGTCTATGGCTCTCCCGATTGGCAATAAAAACATCTATCTTTCTCAATTCCTACCTCACTTCCTTTTAAGAGCTTTTAACTATTTAAATAATGTATAACTACAGCCTGGTCAAGAAAATAAAGCACATCACTTTCTGGAAATAAGTTGTAAATTAAAATAATTTTCTACTCAAAATAATATCTGTTCTGCAGTTCATAGAGGAACATTTCTGAGCTCTTTGCTTATTTTCTGCTACCCCAATACATCCCATGCTGTGTTTCCATGAACACCCAGACACATGCTCACACTGAGTTTAAAATAGAACTAAGTAAAAATAGTAATTCTTTGCAGAGAATACAATGGCTACCTCAAAAAACCACAAGTCATAAATAGGAGGTAAAGAGAGCCTTTTAGACTTTATTTCTGACACACAGAAATAAAGCCAGTTCTCTGAGCTTTCAGGAGCCAGTTCTCTCCCCCTCAAAAGAAATGCCTTTATAATAGCATTTCCTACTAAAATTATCTCAAATAATAAATGTAGAGGATACCAAATTGATTTTTTCACCCAATTTAGGGATTTTGACCAATTTCTCTTATCGCTATACAAGTAATCACAAATGTTAGCCAGATGTCCAACTTTGCTATTGTCACAGCTGAGTGGTTCAGTTAACACCTATCCTAATCATTATTTTGTTCACAAACCATCACCTCAGCCTTTATGATCTAATTTTATTTCCTCCATTGTCATCAGTGCTTTCTGGTAAGTTGCATAATTCCCTAGAGCTTGAACTTACCTAAACAATCACTTTATTATTAATGGCTAATAGTATTAGAGAGATTAACACTCCACTATTGAAAATCTAAACAAATAATGGAAGTTATTAATTCATGTTGATTTTTTTAATTGATTTTAGAGAGAGAAGAATGGAAAGGTTTCTGATAGGTTGTCTGACTTCATGTGTCATCTGTTTAGACCCATTGTGCCCATTGATTCCTCCATAACCAACTTACTAGTACTTCTCTGGACGAGAAATCTTGACCTGGTCCAAATTTCAAAACTAATTTCTTCAGCCTGTTGTGTCCTTTGGCCATACCCACTTCTGGTATTCTAGTTGGAAAACCAGAGCAAATGTACTCCCTAAAGTTAGTTTCCTGAAGTTTGTTCCTGCACTAACCTTTATCTTATCTGCAACCCAGTTGTGTCTGTCAATCACACTATAATTTCTCAGCCTTTCCTTTCTCAATTCAGTGAGATACTCATTTAGCTCTTTCTGGACCCCACCAGTGTGTTTTATTTGCCAACTAATTTGTCAAATTTGAAAAGGTATAGCACTAAAAACAAACACATACATATATATGTAAACAAGCAAAAGAAAAGGTTTCCCTTTGATCAACACATCCCATACTTACGTGGCCAAGCACAGTTCAACAGACATCTCAGATATAAAATAAAATGTTAATGCTTTGCTGAAAATTAGGAGAAATAGGATAGTGTTGAGCCTCAATCTATGTGCAGGTATAATGGCCACCTGTTTACCTAATGTTCTGCTGGCACATACTGGACCTTCAGGGCAAATTAGAAAAACATCCCATCCGGGTGGAGGATTCACAAAAAGATACCTGTTTTGGATGTTTGATGTCCAGAAGTTGATCCAACCCTAACAAACAGAGCCCCAGCTACCCCACCTTACTCTAAGCCAGGAACTACCTAATTATAATCATAGTGTGATGCCTAGAGACCTA